ACGAAAAGCGTCAAAGATTTTTCCTTTACTTATTTTCTAGATTGAAAGTGCGTTTGATGAAATATCGAAGATTTTCGAAAACTCTTAATATTTTTTCCTTCTTTCAATATTAGTAGAGCTTTGTAATTCTGCTTTAAATTGTTTTCTCTTGGGAACTTTTATAAAAGAAGTTCACTTTTTTTTTTTTAGTAGTATATATATTACTGTTTATTAAATAAGTTAGATAAAAGTTTCACGTAAAAAATATAAATGAGACAATATAAAAAACAGACCGACTCTCAACAAAAATACGGGTGATGCGAAGCACCTCAATCTTTTAATTAAGTCCCTTGAAAAAACAAATATCGTCAAAACGTTCTAATAAACTGCAGATAATAGTAAGATGTAAAATTCCAATTTAAATACTCAAAAGTTTAAAATATTTATAAAACGTTCAAATTCACTCTAATCGTTCAATTAATAGTAATTCACGCTAAATTCGCGCTTAAATTCGGATTAGTTGTTTTTCGAAAATTCATAACATTCGAAATTTGAAAATAAAGTTTTGAGCAGTTTAAACGTCAGAAATTAAGAAAGTTCATGTTACAGAGAGAACCTTACAGACGGTTTTGTCAAAAAAAAAATTCAAAGTTTAACACGGCTGCTTGCAATTTAAACTTTAGTTCTAGAATATAGTTTGTTGACCTTAATTTCTGCATAAAAACTGTTTTAATCAGATCGGATTTTATTAAGAGGGAGGGGGGGGGGGGGACAATTTCATAAAAAGTACCAACTGCTTTTTTGAAAAAACAAAAAATAATAAGGGTCCTAAAAACTAAAAATTACCTGACTCAAATGTGTCAAATATCCGACTATATTTTTCAAAAAAACCGACTGTAACTTGAAAATCGCCTTCATTTTACCATAGCAAAGACCCCCTAGAATCGCCTCTGGCTTTAATAATATTTTAAAGTATAAAAGTTGATATTTGTAGCAGATTATTTTAATTTTAAATTTTATTATAATGCATTAAGGTTTTTTAATTCAAAAATAAATAAGAAATTAGTCATATTTTTGCAGCGACATGTAAAAAGATTTTTATTACTTATATTTTCTTCGCAACTTTTTTAATTACATTTTAGGTTTTAATATAGTAGAAAAACATTATTTTGAAGTACAGGACACAATCAATAACTCAATTTTTTCAAAAAGTGAAGATAGAAAAAAATAATTCTAACCTCGCAAAATATTGTCTTTTTGATTAACTTTATTTAAGTGAAAGTCTCAATTTTGATATTTTGATATAACTTACTTGCTTCGTTTTTGTTAATTATTTGTCATGTAATCTCTCTCTTTCTCTCTCTCTCTCTCTCTCTCTCTCTCTCTCTCTCTCTCTCTCTCTCTCTCTATATATATATATATATATATATATATATATATATATATATATATATATATATATATATATATATATATATATATATATATATATATATATATATATATATATATATATATATATATATATATATATATATATATACATATATATATATATACATATATATATATATATATATATATATATATATATATATATATATATATATATATATATATATATATATATATATATATATATATATACATATTTATATATATTTGCGGCCGTGGCGCAGTTGCGTCACGGTAATGATGATTAAATGCACTTCCGCGGTGCTCTGTGACAAGACCGTTAGGTCTTTTTGGGGCACCTAAATAATATATATATATATATATATATATATATATATATATATATATATATATATATATATATATATATATATATATATATATATATATATTTTTATATATATATTTATATATATATATATATATAATACAGTGGCGTTGGAAGGTTTTTAAATGTTTGAAATAACCAACTTATAAACAACAAGAATATTCCAAATTTTTTTACGTTTATAAGTATGACGAAAAGATTCCTTTAAAAAAAAATTACTGTGATAGGAGTATGGGAAGAAGAAACCCTAAAATCTTAACTCCCCTTCCCCAAACGTGAGAGCAACAAGTTGATAAAATATTTTTTGTACTATTTTCAACAAGACTTATATTCATTGAGAAATTTTAAATTTTATAGTAAAATATTTTAGTGTTCAAAAAATTATGACCATATAAAGTTTGCAATCCTAGGGGATTGCAAACTTTTTATGGTCATAATTTTTATTATGTCCAGAATATATCATATTCTTAAGTCTCTTTATGTGCCTATAAGAACAGACAATTTGTTTTAACACACTTTGTAGTTAAAATTTGAGAAATTAAATGTTTAGACAATGTTTACAATTAAATGTAAGACAGTTTTATTATGCTCTTTTATCATGCTCTTTTAAGTATAGAAAAACGCATCTCAATAAAATGCACTGGATTTTTTTTTTTTTAATTTTTTTTACACGGTACCTAAATTTATGTTTAAATAATTATTTTTTTGTGTTCACCGTTATATCGAAGCACTTTTTTGAAAGATCTTTTTTTTTGCGGATTCATGAAACGGAGGACACAAAGATATTTTAAATAAACTCATTGGATATATAACATATAACATCGATTTTAAATGTAAACATTAAAAAATGCATGTGTTTAGAAAAAAATATTTTTATGAAAAAACAAAATAGCTATTTACTTTTTTTTTCAAAAAGAAACATAATTTTATACAATTTATTTACAATTAATAAAATAGTACAATTTTATTAAAAACTAGTATCGGTAACTTAGGTATATAAATAACAAGTTTTAAAATCAACTTAAAACTTTTTACATAAAAGCATATAAAACAATCTACCTTTTAAATACGAACTTTGGTGCAAGTTTGCACACATCCAATTTACTGTAAAGCGATAACTGTTGCGAAAAATTGCTTGAATATTAATATATAGTTTAACTTTTACTTCCTTATAAAAAACTTTTTGATTTATAATAGATGGATTTGAAACAATAGTATAATTAGGATTCTTTTTAAATCAATTTTATTCTGCATAGGCTACGTGATTTGCTGAACGACTCAATTTATAAACGTTACATAAATTAAGTTGCTTAGAAACACATAAATGCTTTTTTAAAACGTATTCAGGATATTATAAATTATTATTTATCGAAATCTAAAGTATTTTATTTAAAAAAATTTCTGAAATTATACAGATATGTTATGCCTTTTCACTAATTATTTGAATATAACAATTAGATATTTAAAAAAAAAAAACACTTTTTGAAAAACTAACAGATGCTTTTTTTTCAAGCCAGAAGACTTAGAGGCTACACATGTAGCAATCAAATCAACAATTTAACCATATAGGGCATCGGTTAGTTTTATTATATAGGCATAGAGGGCAATCCCTCGGGGTGGCTAAGGCGCCGCCAACCCTAGGGTAGGCTCTGAATATACACGTTACAAACAAATATATAAAAAATTAAAGCAACAAAACTAATATCTAAATTAGTATATATCTAGTATTTCATTATCTAGTATTTCAAATATCTAGTATTTCAAATAACTAATATTATTAGTGTTATATTAGTAGTAGTACTAGTAAATATCAAGTATTTCAAATAACCCCCAAAAACTATTTTGCAACACATTTTTTTTCCATCGATTTAACAAGATTGTTGGCAACTTCGTTTGGAACTCTTCTTCAAATGGTATCTAATTATTGCTTTAAGCTATATCTTTTTCGCACCTTGACTAATTTTTGTACATCCAAGCCCAAATAGATTTAAATGGATTCAAATCTGTTAATCAAGCTGGCCAGAGAAATAAATTCACTTAGTTTTTTTCGTCCACATTTTTTACTGAACAAGTTGTGTGGGCAGGCGCTAAATCTTGTTGAAATTGCCACTATTCATTTCAATCAATCAGCATGTGCACTGATGGAACTATGCAGTTCTCTAGTGTCTCTATAAATGTATGTTTTTTGATTCGGCCTGTATAAATGTTACACACCTACTACGTCAAAGTTAAAGCAACCCAGAATACCAATGCTCAAACCGCTACCTTGCAACCTCTGGACTACAAAGCGATTACTACACTTTTCCGATTTTAACTTTTAACAAGAACTTTGCTTTTTCAAGATTTTAACTTTTAACAAGAACTTTGCTTCAAAGTTATAAATAACTTTGAAGTTTCTTTCATAACTAAAAATAATTTGTTTTCACTTTTCCAAAGACCACCTAATTCATTCCTTACATCACCATACTCTTGTGAGCCAATCTCTGGCTGTCAGCATAGGTTTTTCAACAGCTGCATAAACACTTTTTTTGATTCTCAGTAAATACTTCTAATTGTATTTGAAGAAATGCGTTATTCACGGTTTTCAATGTTTGTTATGGTAATTTCACGACAAATTAACTTCGGACTCTTACTTAACGAAATATAAGACTATTTTTGCGCTCAGAAGTTTTTTTAACCTTCCTGATCCTGCATGACGTTGAATGCCACTTTTTGTTTTAAATGCCTTTAGGGTATATCTGACGCAATTATCAGGAGTTTTTAATTCTTTTTCTTGCTATTTCTCTATTACTGATCATTGAGCCATCCTTCATTCTTAGTATTTGTCACTTTGTTACTTCGTTTACTACTTTTTGACCCATCTCTATGGGTCAAAAAGTTTCATTTATCTTAACTATTCAGTCTTATAAAAAAGTTTTGAGTATAACTAAAGTGATGATCAATAGTGAATTTATCCAACCTTTAATAGGCAATATATATATATATATATATATATATATATATATATATATATATATATATATATATATATATATATATATATATATATATATATATATATATATTTATATATATATATATATATATATATATATATATATATATATATATATATATATATATATATATATATATATATATATATATATATATATATATATATATATATATATATATATATATATAGCGAGATGCTTTTTATTAAAAATATATATATATATTTAAAACATTTACTTACCTTTTATTTTTAATGTGCATCAGTAAGTAAGATTTCAGAAAACATAAAAAAAAACTAAAAAAAAAAAATTCTAATTGAATACATTTGAATTTAAATGAGTCATTTAACTCTTACTCTGCGTCATGTTAAAAAAATGTCAGATTATATAAACTATTAATTATTTAAAAAATTTAAGATGCCTACATTATTAATTATTGAATGATTATAAAAAGCGATTTCTCTAAGATTACCTAATTTTCATTTATCTAAATACCTTGCATTATAAAACTTAATTAAAAAATGTTTTAATATAAACTTTATAATATAAAATAATATTAGTCAAAAACTTTAATAATTTTCAAGCATTGTATTATAATTCTAGAAAATGATTAAAATTTTTTCTAATATTATAAAGAAAGCAGATCTTAAATAAAAATTCTTAATAAAAAATACTTATTTATCGAAATCTAAAGTATTTTAATAAAATTTTTATTTGAAATTATACAGATATGTTATGCCTTTAGTTTTCACTAATTATTTGAATATAACAATCAGATATTAAAAACTTTTTGAAAAATTTAGATGTTTTTTTTTCAAGCCAGAAGACTTAGAGGCTACACATGTAGCAATCAAATCAACAATTTAACCATTTAGGGCATCGGTTAGTTTTATTAGACTACTAGTTTGCCATGTAATAAACACAAATCGATACAAAGACATGTATACAAAACACAAATCGATACAAAGACATATATATATATATATATATATATATATATATATATATATATATATATATATATTGGCATAGAGGGCCATCCAAGGGGGTGGCTAAGGCGCCCCCAACCCTTGGGTAGGCCCTGAATAGAGGGTCTTTTGATTATTATATAAATCGAAAAACGAGAAAATATTCCAACAATTTATTTAAAATTGAGTGAAATTTTCTTTATTTATTTTAACTTTTCGAATTTTATAAACGGAAGTAAGAGTAATAATAAAAAATAATCAGTAAACAGTAAAAAATAAAACATGTTTGAAAGAATTATTTTCTAATGTTGTTTTCCAATTGTGTCATTTTGTTGCTGCTATTTTAAGGACTGGATTGTTTCGGAATAAGTACAGAGAATTTACGAACGTCAACTAATTTATAAATCACATATAACTATATATTTGATGTCGACTAATGGTTTTTGTTTGGGCAGGCAGTTTATATTAACATTTTTTGGTTTGTAAAATACAACTTGCAGAATGACCTGTCCACAATAGATTGTGTTTTTTTTTCCAGAGCTGTACCAACAATATTTAAAATGTCATTTTATAGCTTATTTAAAAGAGTATCATTAGGAAAATCTGCCCAAATAAAACAATGATATTCAATAATAGTAATAATAAAAAACAACATTTCATAAAAGAATGAATAAAAGATTTATAGAGATAGAAAAAGTTAATAGCAGTTACGATAAAGAGGGGCGTTGGCTTTAAAGGCATTAAAAGGCATTAACTAAGTAATGAATTCGAAATATAATTAACTAAGTAATGAATTCGAAAATTTACCATATAAGATCAAAAGAGAAATATAATCCAAGAACACGTCAATTATATATTTACTAATATAATATATTACTTATGAAATAAGGATTATATTGACGAGTTTTTTTTAACATAAAAGTTTTATGATCTTGAGTTTCAATAAAAATAGAAGATGTAAACAATATAAAATTTCCAAGCTAAGAAGTTCTAAAAAGTCTAAGCTAGGGTTGCCATTATTTTGGTTTTTACTTAGGAAAGCGAAGCTAAACTAATTAAAATCAAAATTTTCATTGCGTTCTCCAACGGAAAAATCTTGACAATGACAGTTTTAGCCTAGACATAAAGGCATCTAGCTATCCGTGTACACCAAATGTTTTCTATTCATTAAAAGCAGTGTATGCTATGGACCATGTATTATTTATCTCATAAACGCAATGCAAATATTTGAATAATTTATATGCCGGAGACCTCGCCATAAGCTGCATAATTCGGCGCGTTCTAACTTTTACTGGTTTAGTAAAAGCGGAACTCGGGGTAAAAACAGACCCCGTACTCCGGACTCCGACTTCTCATTCTTGGTCATAACTTTTGAACACTAAAAGATTATTGGATAAAATTTGTTGGTAAATTTAAATTGAAAATAAGAGAGTAAAATTATGTATTAAATTAGGTCATTGTCTTAAGGTTGAAGCAGGAGGGGACTTTTTGCGTAATATTGTTTCCAGGGCCCAATCACCGCATTTTTTTACAAAACATTTTTATTCAACTTAAACATGAATATACTTAAGTTTAGAGTTTGCCCAATGGTTAAAAGTGTCAAATTTGAAACATTGGTTTTCCCAAACATGTAGGGTAGATTATGGTAATTTGAGCACCTTGGTAATATGAGCCTACTTAAAGATTTCTTAGATGTAAACAGTGAAGTTAAGTTGCTTTGTATTATTTGAATCGAATTTATATAGTGATAACAGGAATCAGTAAAATTAGCGTAAACCTATATGTAATAATTAGCGGGTATCATCTAATTAAAACGCTGTTAAACTTTTTGCGTTATTAAAATAATATCATCACGCATGAATAAATCTATGGCGCGAAATTTTGGTGTTAAAATAATAAAATCAGGTTAGCTAAAAAACCAATCCATTTTTGTTTGAAAAATAATGCATGGAAACATTTAGTTTTGACTGACTGAGCATACTCATACTACCCAGTGTTTTTCATTGAGATCCCTTTAAACCTAGTTTAAAGTCCTAAAATAGCAGTGGTTTTAATTGCTTTTTGAATAAAAAAAATATATAATAAAAAATTTTAATATTTCAACAACACTAAATGTTTTTCTGTAAATTAAATTCAAAAAAATTGAATTTTTATCATTCAAAGGTTTGAGTTAATAAAATTGAAAAAATAACGAACTAATTTTTTTTTTTTTTTTGCGGAAAATAGTAGTATTGTTCAACAAAAAGTGGCTTAAAATTTTATCTTTTAATGATAAGTTTTGTTAATAACGAATCATTATTTTCCAAAAATTAGTTCTAATTGTCAGGTTGCTGTTTTTTTACTAAATTAATGTTATTTTTTTGAGCTAATTTAAAGTGCTCGTATTACCAAGTGGTCTGGGTAAAATGAGTACTTTTGCAACTTTTTTAAAACCTCTGTGTTTTTAAGAAAATATTTCTTAAATATCTAATTGGAATATGATTCCTAAAAATTGTTTATTTGTAAGAACTTTTGATCAAGCATAATTATTTTTGAAAATATTCTAATTTTCCCTTAAGGTGCTCATATTACCCTAATCTACCGTAATGATCTTTATAAACCTTTAATCTCGTACTTCTTTTTCGGACTTCTCGACAATATCGACAATCTCAACAGTCTCGTACTTCTTCATCTTCTATAATTACCCTATATACCACTACCTTAAAATTAACTGATTCTATTCGTGATTTTCTTTGTGACGGTTCTTGGGCTGGTGTTTTTTTCTCTCAACTAATATTGCCTCCAACGTAATCTCCTTAATTCCAGCAGACATGGAAGCTTTTATTCCTTTTTGTTGTTTTTAAGTCAAGTCTGGTTTTATTTCATGGTTTTCATCTTGTATCGTACCTCAGGGTTCTATCTTTGACTCTATATTAATTCTTATTTACATTAATGATTTTCCTGACTATTTTTCATCTTAAGTGGCTCTATTTACTGACGACTCAAATATATAGTCCTTTCTAGACAAAAAGTCTTTTCTTTTTGATTGCTTAGAACAAGTAGCCGGTTTTGATGAAATAGAATATTCCTAAAACACTGAACCAACTAACTGTGAAAGTCTAGTTGTTAGTTTTAAGGCTAACAACTTTGAAAGTGTTGTTTAACTGATTTTAATTTATTTAGTAACTGTTTAAAATATTTTTTATTTTGTCTGTACTTTCATTTACTGGGTGGTAATTTAGTATAATTATAAAACCTCCTTTTATTTTTGACAGTTACTTCAACGCTAGTAAAAACTAGACACTAGATAATTGGTCTCGAGTCTCAATTTCTTGTCTAGTATTGGTGCGATACCATACAGTATGGGTATCGAAATCGCGCGATACTGGTATCAAAAGTATCGTTAATGTTGGTATCGTTTGGTATCGTTTAGTCTCGATGCGATACTTTACAGTATTGATATCAGGATCACGCGATACTAGTATCGAAAGTATCGTTTATGTTGGTATCGTTTGGTCTTGGTCTTTCGTATAATTAATGAGATACATAATGGCTCATTTATTATAAAAAAAAAGTTCTCTGAGCTGGTTGTATGACATCATGTTTATCATTTAATTTCTCATCTGGTATCTTTATTTTAATTTAAACAATTGTGTGGCACCACTTCTGTATTTTAATTTCTCATCTATTATCCTTATTACAATTTTTTCTACCGTGATTAAAAGGAAAAAAAAGATTTTTTTAACATTTATTTTTATATTAAATTTTTACAAATAATTAAATTATGTTAAACAGTGTGTAAGGGGTGAACAAAAAGGTAAGGGAGGGTAACTAGCTGGTATTTAGTGTAACTAGCTCCTTCCCCTACCTAAGAAATGTTGAACATCAAAATATTATTAATAAAATTAAAAATATAAGAAAAAATACGAAAAACCTATATAACCATTCAATATATTTATTATTACTGACTATCTTATAACCTTTCTAAAATCATTCAAAATATCAAATGAAACAGTTATTTTATTTTAAAAAAAGGCGAAACTTATTTTTTATATTTTTTTGGTTCGACCTACCCCCCTAGAACAATTACCTGGATCAGCTCTTGCAATGTGTAGTGTCCCATATCGTTATCCCAACTCTATTGAATTTTTATTCCATTCAAGCGAAAATTTTCTGTGCGGAAGTAATCTCCACCCAGTGGGCACCGGATCTAAAAAAGACGTCTTTTGAATGTTCAAAAGACGTCCAAAATGTTCAAAAGACGTTCAAAAGACGTCAAAAACGTATATAAGACGTTTAAAAGGCGTCTTTTTTACGTCCGTGCCCACTGGGCAAGAAAATAGTTTTGCAATCATTAAAGAGTGTTTTTCATATAATTCTCCAAAGAAAATTGCTTCTGATGCAATGGTTAATGATTATTCTAAACGAGT